TTTTCCGTTGAACATTGAACTGAACGCAACAAATTTTTGAATGAAGAACTTGCACGTGAATTAGTTCACATGATGTGTCATGAACGGCAGACATCAGTGTAAATGAACGTTGGAATTTGTTTTCCATTGAAAACTGAGTGACATCTGTTTTCTCTTTTGAAACGCGAAAGTTCCTCCCTCCTGTATTCTCCGCACTTTTTCCGCAGAAAACAAAAAATTCCCACGGTTTCCACCGTCTGTGAACGCCCCCCCACTCTGTTTTGCGGTGCAACGCTGTATGCTAGTGCTTTTCATGGGTTGTTGGACTCAGATGTGCCTGAGTCGTGATGAAAACAAAGGGTGAGTTAGCGACACAGGGCCGTTTACAATTGACATGAAGTACTGTATAGACACACGCACTGCAGCGCATTACTGTCTGTAGTACTTATGATCTTTGCACGCTCATTCTCCACCACCTTTGGGGGAGTTTCCCACTTAGACCTTGGGGTTTCCAGCCCATACTCTCCACAGATGTTTCTGTACACTATGCCAGCCACTTGGTTATGGCGTTCCATGTAGGCCTTCCCTGCCAGCATCTTGCACCCTGCAGTTATGTGTTGGATCGTCTCAGGTGCCTCTTTGCACAGCCGACACCTTGGGTCTTGTCTGGTGTGGTATATCTGGGCCTCTATCGCTCTGGTGCTCAGGGCCTGCTCCTGTGCAGCCATGATGAGTGCCTCTGTGCTGTCCTGTAGGCCAGCCCTTTCTAGCCATTGGTAGGACTTCTTGAGATCAGCCACTTCTGTTGTGCTCCGGTGGTACATGCCGTGTAGGGGCCCTATATATATATATATATATATATATATATATATATTATCACGTATAGTGATTTCTATCTTGTAGTATGAAAAAAGTATTTATTTGAATATCTCACAAAAAAAGTAAAATGAACTGAACTTTGAACTAGTTCAGAATTAAAAATGTGAACTTTGAACGTGAGCTGTTGACTTTGAGCATGTATGAACTGAACTTGAACAGAAAAGCTGTGAACTGGCACAACACTGCTCCCTGTAACGGCAGAATCTCTTTGCTCAGGACAGGTTGTCTCATCAGCATCGGGCAGGGGTTAAATGTAGGAATTTCCCTTGTCAATAAACGCATAACCTGAATATTACCGACTGTGACTTGTGGTACATTTTTGCAGGTGCACACAGGATCAGCGACTGCTCCTGTGTGGCACCTGCACTGACAACTGGTTTTATGATTACCTGAGAATCCTTGTAAACACCAGGTGCGAACCCAAAAAGCTCAAAATTAGGAAACTGTTGAGTACTGGCCAATTGGATCAGTTTAGTACGTGCACGGCTTTTGACTTTTTCTGTGTTTTTTTAGTTGTTTTGTTTTGTATGACGTTGGTTTCTGCTCTGGAATGGTGAAGGCATCGGTGAAATGCGGGAGAACAAGTGAGATATTTGGACGGGAGGTGGAGCGACAGCATGTTGTTGAGTGTCTTTGTTCCGTCTGCTCTCTGGCCTGTGTGCTGCTGTGTGCTGCCTGCATGGCTGGATGGCAACTGCGTGGGCCTGACCCGTGATCTCACCGCCCACCACACACACACACACACACACATTTACAACACATACACACACGTACAGAAGTAGAGTTTGGTGGGGTAAATACAAACCGGTCCATCTCCCTCCTCTCACTGCTCTCATTGTGCAGTACCTCTCCCTGTATTATTACTGTTTCCACATCATCCTCAGGGGACAGCCAAGACTGCTGTCCCTATGACAACCTCAGTGCTTCTGTCAATCATGCGGCCTCCTTATTCTCCCTGGCTCAAACCACACACATACGGCCTGTTGGCTCTGGCAGGTGTGCAGATGGCTCGTCATCCGTCTATAGACCGCATCAACAAATGCACAACACATTACAGTCACTTATCTTAACCCATTCAGTCTATTGAGGCGTCCTGTCATCTGCCTGCCATTTCTGATCATATCCGCCGCACATTAGTCCTGGCTTTGTGTGGTTTCAAGTGCTCCATTTAAAAAACCATCAGCTGCAGTGGCCTTCATGTCGTTATGTGTATTGTTTGGCATAAAAGTAAATGGAAAAAGTATTTCTTAAAATAGTACACTGCAGAGTATTTTAACCTGAAACACCAAATTTCAAATTTCACTCATGCTGCAAGTACATTCATACCATTAAACATTTGGCCAAGCGCAGCCAGCAGGACGTGTATATTTGACCAAAAAGAGCTACTATATGTCAGACTAAATTATGATTTATTTCAGGGCCTTCTTAATTTCAAGGAGTTCTCATGGCACAGACTGATGACTGTGATATGTCTCATCACGGATGTTGCTCTGTGGAACAATGATGCAAATCTCAAAAACATATGAAATAGAGCAAGACAAATGTATATATTCTCAGTGTAAAACAATTCTTGATTTAAAACATATTCATACAATTGATATTCTAGGGGTTATAGGGACCTTGTATCAAACATGTTCTAAAACTTGGTGAGTAAATGAATGTCTTTGTGTCAGTTTGTGTGTTTCATATTCTGTAACCTGCTTGACATAAAGGCTTAATGTACTGTAGAGCAGGGGTCAGGAGCCTATGGCTCAGGAGCCCGATGTGGCTCTTTTGATGATGGTGTCTGGCTCTCGGACAAATCTGAGTGGGAATTAATAGTAAGAATGTTTTATGCATTGGATTTCTTCTTTCAAAGCAGGTTAGCGGCATGGTGGTGCAGTGGTTAGCACTTGTGCCTCACAGAAAGAAGGTCCTGAGTTCTATTCCACCTCCAGACAGGGCCTTTCTGTGTAGAGTTTACATTTTCAGTGTATGTGAGTGAGACTGTGAGACTGTGGGACTATGTGCATACAATCCAGAGAAGTGTGTTCATAGACATGCACTGTCTCAATCATATGAACTACAAATTAAATAAAAACTATATTTGTTTTAACCCAGACCTACCTTGGACTCTTTTCTCTTTCATTTCAATGTTTTCCCACTGCACCAATGAGCACCTGGTCAGCTTGCTTCACTTTTCTTCCTTTTAGGAGCTCTTTTGTGCCTCCTTTATTGAACATTTGAACAAATATGTTTTTTGGCTTTCTTAACTGAAAAGATCGGTGGTCCCTGGTGCAGTGGAAAACTATCCCTGCTCATTGCTCTAATCACACCATCCCTACTGTGAAATCTGGAGGTAGCGGCATCATGCTGTGGGGCTGCTTTTCTTCTGCTGGGACAGGGAATAGTTCCAGAGTTCATGAGAAATTGGAAGATGCAAAATAAAGCGCAATATTTGAAGAAAAGCTCGCAAAATATGGGATTGGGGTTTGGCTTCAGGAAAAAAAGGAATTTGTCAAAGTAAAGACCTAACAAAAACTGTGGCAAGATCTAAAAACTGCTGTTCACAAACTCTATCTGTTTTAGGAAAATATAAAGGGTAAATATGTAAGTCTCCATGTAAAATACTGTAAGAGACGTGACCCAAAACACCAAATGCATCTGTAATTGATCCGAGGGTGTTCCACAAAATATTGACTCATGGGGAGAATAAATACCGATACATTTTCATTTTTTTTTTTTTCACTTTGTCAGGAGAGGAGGGGGACAGGACATTTATTTCCTATCCTTTAGTGTTATCTTTCTTTACCCCTTTTGAAAGAAAAGAGAAAAACACATTATTAACTAATTATGGAAACAAAAATAGAAAAGTCAATACACTCAATCAATAGCTATTCTGATGCACCAGTCTCCCATGTCCTCGTCCAGTCTAGAACGATCATTTCAGATTTTCCCTTCAACAAAACAGACAGTCCCTTTGTCCCTTGCGTGTGTTTGACATGCGGCCATCAGCGCGTCTGTAGATTCAACGCAAACTATATGCATGTGTTTGTGGAGTGTCCCAAACTGCACAGTCTGCTGGTAATGAGTGCCCTGAGCTCCCCACTACACCTAACTGATCCAGTAATTGCTTTTCCTCCTCTGCATTTATCATCATCTGCTCAGCCTGTCGTGTTAGCTGGACAGAGAGGAGCTGAGGAAGGGCCACTGTCTTGCCTGGACCATAGACTGTGAAATCATCTGGACGCGGTACAGGAAAATGGACCAGAGCCCTAGGGCGGGGCCAGGGGGAGCTCCACACAAGCATTTATCAACCATATGAAGTGCCTGTTGTTCACCATTAAGATGATTAGACCAGCAAACTGGGAATCAAACCCATGGACTTTGTGCAGCATGGTGCCTGGTTTACCAAAGTTGTGATAGATTTTACTCTATGATTTTGATTCCATGTGTGATTTTTGCGTTATAGTAACTTGTGTTATTGATTTTTTTTTTGTGTTTGAATTATATTTTTTTTATGTCTATGTAGATTTGAATGTTGAATGTTTGTGTTGCCTTGTGTAGGAAAGGCGCTCAACCAATAAATGTGGATTGATTGATTGTTTTGGTTGTCGCTGGATCAGGAAAAATAAACAAATACAACAAATTACTATTACCTGACCTTCTGCTATTACTATTACCTTTTTAATTTTATTATCAAAAGTTATTTTCCTAATAAAAAAAAGTAATCCAAGAATAAATTACAGTTTTCCTTGTCTACTTTATTGATTTGTTAGGACAGTACATATCAATCAATTTGTCGGCAAACAGCATCAACATAATTATGCTGGAATTAGCACATTAGCAAAATTGCATCCATTGTCCAAAGGCAGGAAGAAACACACAGTTAGGCAACATTACAAACAATAACTCGACAAGCACAACGTACAGAATTTAAAATAGAAGAGAAAGTCCAAGGAAAAGCAGAACTTCATCTATGGGACAAATGACTCGTTTGATTTCAACCATTTTTTCCGGACTCCTTTAACATTATTTTTGTAAGCATACCTTACAGCAATATTTTTAGCTTCACAATACACAGACATAAAGATATACCTTCATGATGTAAACAAACCGTCCCTAGTGAGACCTGCAAATTAGGTGTTGGTGTGCTCCGGTGCATGGGGGCGTACACTGTCCACACGGAGGAGGGAGGGGGAGGAGGTTGGGGGTGGACGGGGGCTGCTTCTGCTGCTGTGGATCTGCGGTTGATGAGCTCTGTAATGGGGGGAGAACAGAGCGCGTGAGGGGAATAGATTGGGACTTCATTGGCAGGGCCCGTATATGCACCGCAGTCTACGCCTATTTATCCCCCCCATTTCAATGCGCCTTTGCTGTGACCGTTCTACAACCAATGACAGTAAAATCACGTCGCCACTAGAGAAGGAGAGAGGGAGGGAAAGGTGTGTGTGTGTGTGTGTGTGTGTGTGTGTGTGTGTGTGTGTGTGTGTGTGTGTGTGTGTGTGTGTGTGTCAACCCTGTATGATTTGCTCATTTATTCAGCTCGGCTCCCCACAGACACACACACTCACTGTATGGCTCATTCATGGGTTGGAATGAATAGTGCTCGTGCCATAGTGGAAATGATAGCAGCTCTGATTATGCAAATTCAGAGGGAGGACAGAGAGAGAGAGAAAGAGAGAGAGAGGGAGTGATTAGAAGAAAAAAAAAAGGTGACATCGATTCATATTCACTCAAGATGAATCCATGTGTGAAGATTGTTTACAGAGACAGAGATCTGCAGATGCGTTGAATTAATGAACACGTATATTATGTTTGCAGATGTAACAGGTTCCCTCTTTCTTTTATTCTATTTTCTTCAAGGGAATAGTCGTTGTGTTATATCCTTGAAATAATTAAACCTGTTTCCATAGTGAGAATTTATGATCATTTAATAAAAACGTCTGCGTTTTTAAAGCGTTCAGCAACAAGGTCCATGGGTTCGAATCCTGGTCATAACAGGGCCTTTCTGAAGGGAGTTTGCATGTTCTCCCCGTGTCGGCATAGGTTTCCTCCGTGTGCTCCGGTTTCCCCTACCACTAAAAACATGCACAAAAAGTGATGTAAATGTAATGAGTGTGTGAATGGATGGTGTTTTGTCAGAGGCTATGATTACTTACTCACTTCCTGTACTTACAAGTTATTTTTGGAGCATAATTTCAGATATGGTCATTGTCTGTCTATTGTCTGTGTGTGACATACTCGTAGAATGAAAATAGACTTTTTCAGACAAAGCTTGGCTCTGCACCGTATTTACATAAGATGAGCTAACATGCAGCAGGTCACTCTAAAATGATACAGTGCAGTGAAAATAATGATACTATTTACTTCGTCATTTCAATTTTTTTGAATGTGAAATAATATCATTTTAATAAAAAATATATATATATATATGGAGAAATATGTATCAATGAAAAACAAGGCTAATGGTCTTCCCTATGAGAAGTTTAAATTATTTTGTGTTTTTAAAGTTCAACAAATTACCGGCCGCAAACACAGATCATAATTTCCCTCAAGAAATGTTCACTCCACCTTTATCTAAAAGCTTTTAGATAAAAGCTTTTAGATAAAAGCTTTTAGATAAAGGTTTTGTGCCAGAAGTGACTCATATTAGCGTAAAAGCATCTAAAAACAACACAAATGGTTACATGGAGCTATAGAGTTCGGGTTAGTTGGCAGTGCACCTTTAAGGCACTGATTGCATTACATTATTCATGGGACTTAAAATATCAATTTATAATTCCTCAGAACTTAAATTATCTTAAAACAGATCTACAGGATGAGCTATAAGGTAAACCTGCCTTTGTTTATGTCATAATGTTCTGTGTTCTGTATTTATGTCAATATTGTTAATTTTAACAGAAGGGGTGCGGTAACAGAGTGGGGTGCGAAGGAGCTAATGTTTTTAGATTGTTTTGTGTGTTTATGTAATTATCTTTTCTTATCCTTAATGCTCTGTAAATTGTGTTGTATGTTTGTATGTATGTACTGTATGTATGTATGTTTGTATGTATGTACAGTATGTATGTACTGTATGTATGTATGTACAGTATGTATGTACTGTATGTATGTATGTATGTATGTACAGTATGTATGTATGTATGTATGTATGCATATATATATGAATGTGTCTATATTCACATATTGTATTTATGTTTAGGACCCCCTCGAGAATGAGAAGATTAATCTCAAGGATCATTCCTTTATGAACTTAAACTTAACCCTCAGATGTAGGAGGATGATTTCAGACAGAGCTGCCCTTAATAAAAAGGGTGCATAAACTGGAATATATTTTCTACATTAAATTAGATTACATTACATTAAATTATGGACATGTTTCTGGTGGTTACAATTCTTAATATCTGCTATGTTCAAGGTGGTTCTTGCTTTATTTGTAAGTATATTGCATTCTCTGTATTTTGATTTTGTCATTATTCCTTTAATTCACCACACAATTGTCTCGTTTTAGCAACATCCAAGGGCAGAGCTAATATGAACAACTCCAGATGGCCAAAGAAGTGTCGTCAGGTACAAACAACCCAAAAAACACCCTCTATTTGAACAGATGGGAAACTCTGTCCCCCATCGCACCCTTCCCTCTGGACCAGAAGGAGTTAATTTTGGCTTCGGGGGTGGAAAAAAGAAAGGAAACACACTGCACTAAAAATAATGCATCCTTGTTGAGTGAGAATTACTCAAAGCTCTTAAAATAGACGGCCTGACTGCATTTTGTTCAAGTGGAGGAACCCTTTTGGTGTCGTCTGGTTAGAACTCTGTCACGCACTCGCAGGTTGCTATGGTTACGGCACTTGTAGCCACCAGTCGAAGAAAAGAGGCAATTTTTGTCTTTATTCGTGCGTTATTTGTGATGTAAAATAGCAGAAATTATCAGCTGGGAAAGAGGAACACCACGGGTCCATTTGCACGTCTTTATGTAAGTGCTTTGAAGATGAGGCTAATGCTGGATTATCCTCACAATAAAAACAGCATGATAAATTATATGGGATTCAGAGATCTGTGAAAGTGTTGCCTTCATAATCAGGGCAACCCAAAAAGTGCTTCACAAGATGAAAAATAAAACATTACAACCATAAAACAGTCAAAATGGGCATTGAACACAAGTCATTTACCATATGTTTCAAAAATGATCACATTTTATACCCTCTATCAATATGTTTATTTTTATGTTGACATGTTCTTATAGTCATGAGAATGAGATCTACAATTAATCTTCAATGAAAGGAAGATTACTGATGCAATGATGGAAAACGGGGCTGAGATACAGTAGCGAAAAGCGTATGTTTTTATATAGAACTGCCAAGGAATAGATAGATAGAAACTTTATTGATCCCCCGTAGGAGAAATGTATAGGTGCATCAGAAATCACTTCCATAGAAACACATAAGAACATAAATTATGAACATTTATAAACTACCCAACAATAGTGCATACTTTTAACACGTACAGGTTTGTTGTACAGTCTGACAACCGAAAGAGAAAAGGATCTCCTATAACGCAGTGATATAATCCGTATAGTGTCGTGCAGACGGTATTTATTGTATCAAACCGAAATGCCCTGTTTCTAGGTATCGGTATCATATTGTGGCCAACGTATCAAGGTACGTATCATAATCAGAAATCGATATGGGTATTTAAAAGTTGTATTGTGATTTCACGTTCTCGAAAACTAATTGGTTAAAGTAGTTAGATGGAGAACTTCTGTCTATCAAATTGAAATTATTTCCCAGACTCCTTTGTTGAAGGAAGAAGACTAAGATACTTTTTTGGTTTATTTTCGGTCATTCTCCTGTTTTGCAACATCTTCTTGAAATGTTCTCCCCTCAAATGAAAAAAAAAAATAGATAAAATAAAGCATGAATAAATGAACATGTATATAATGAAATCCCCAAGTTTTTTCTTCTTTAATTTTATTGTATAATTTTTTTATTGATGTGTTTATTTATTTACTTACTTAATTATTTTTCTTATTTTCTGTCATTCTCCTCTTTTGCAAAATGTTCTTGAAAATGTCTCCCAGTTAAAACATAATTGTGGAAAATTAACCGATTTTCCACATTATATCATAAAAAGATAGACATTGCTCCCAAATTCCCGAAACCCCAGTGATCCCCACAGCAGATCTTACCACTTATCCTGCCCCATTTGTGACTCAAGTTCAAACAGGTCTGCTCAACAGGCCCGGGCCATATTTCATCAGGGATGGAGGGATCGGGTGGAGGGCCGGGTGGGGGGCCGGGGGGGGGGGGGGGGGGTCAATGTTGTGGACGTGGCGTTTCCTCTGACCGGTCTCTCTGTGTCTCGGTGGACGACGCAGGGAGTTGGTTCACTTTTAGCGCCGCTTATCCAGTCAAGGTGATTTAAACCATGTCAGGGCAGCAGTATGTAGCCCCCCCCCCCAGAACCCCCCCACCCCCCACCATCAGTCCTCCAGTTCCTGTCTTTCATTTGTCCGCAGTAAAAGATCTCAGTGTGTGTTTCTGTGTTTTCGGAGGCCTGTTATTGTGTCCTTGTGCTGATTTAACCTTGTGTGCTCACATACTTATATTGGTTTGTTCTGCTGGCTTTAATCTGAGCCGGACTGTAGAGCCCTGGGGGGGTTATACAGCGGTGTACAAAGTAATGAAGTAATGATTTTTTTTCCCCCATTGCTAATTTTCATTTGATGGAAGATGAAGAGAGATGTATTCTTGCAGCGTGAAATATGTCAAAGCTGGCCTTAATTATGTTTGTGAGCAACAAAATAAAACTAATGAATAGGGAAAAATACATTCATGTTTGGATTTTTGACACATCTGCGAGGGCAAAGCATCAATTAGTTTCTCATATTAAAGCTACGGTACCTGTTAGAGATTTTGTTTTGTTCCTAGAGTTAGAGATTTGCTTTTATTTTAATTAGCATAGTTGTTGTTCACTTATCTTGTGCTGTGTGCTTCTCATTCCTACTGTTCTGTAACTTGTGATGCAACACTGAAATTTCCCCACTGTGGGACACTAAAGGATCTCCTAATATATAATTATCAAAGTATCATGAACAGTAAATGTGAACGCAACATTGTCTTTTAATCATAGCATTTGTTGTGTTTGAACGGTTTGATTTTCTGATCTGTGTTCAGCAGTTTTGTACTTCTGCTGTGATAAAGGGCTTTTTTTTTTTTTTCTTATCACAAAAACATGGTATCTTCTGCAAATGTAGAAAAGAGCCCTCCATTCATCCATCCATCCATGTTGTTCCCCTTAATCCATTTCTGGGTCCCTATAGTGGGGTTAAGTGTCTTTTCCATGGACACAACAGCAGACTTTACTGGGAGTCAGAGGAGAAGGTCTCACGGTGGGGATCGAACCCACGACCTTCAGACTCAAAGGCCAATGCTCTACCAAGTGAGACCTGTGACTCACTGATGTAGTTTTGGGTTGAGAGCTGATTGGCTGAGTAAGAGTGGTCCTATGTTTTCACTGTTCTACCAGAAAAAGCTGATATAAAGAGGTGACAAAGGCCAAAAAAACATGCAGATATAGAATCAAACTGTCTTGAGGGCAAAGAACTATGGACTTTTGTTACGTTTGAAGTCAGCTAACCCATCTATAACCACTTCCTGAAATGTGGTTATTTTGCATTATTCACTTGACTCATTCTATCACAAGCAAGCACACATGTCCATAACACAAACCTTTTTAACATTAAGGGCACAGAAGGGCCGGCTAAATCAAATCCATACACATAGACGAGTGGAGGAGAGCCCCATGAAGAGGATTCTGATGGCAGGAAGCACTAGGAGCTGGAAAGGAGACACAGGGAGGTCAGATAGGGGCTACTTCAAGGGCCACTCTTGTCCCATCAAAGAGAAGCCGAAGCAGTGATCTGTGCTCCTCTGATGTACAGGGCTGAACACAAAGGACTAATGCAGGGAGACATGGAGGATGGCAGCCTGTCATACTCTTTTAAGCCTGCTCTTTGAGAGATGTATTGTTTGTGGGAGTGAAGATGAATCTCTCCTGTTACCCTGTGGCTACTGCTTTTAGGGCCAATAAAACTCACTTGAACAAACCTGTGATTGATTCGAACCCAAGGGATGCGGCAACCTGGTTTCAGCGTGTACCACTTATTGCAGTCTTTTAACAAGGATTCTTGCTCTAATATGGCAGCACACACACACACAGACACGTAGACACACACACACAGACACACAGAGACAGACAGACACATACACATACACTGACACACGCGTCATACATGTAGCATAGCCTGGAGAAATGAGGTTACTGCAAGACGCGCAGACAACAGAGTGGCATTTTATTGAAGAAAGAGTGACTTTGATGAGAGGAAAACACATGAATACAGGGAGGACTAAGTGGAGATGTTGTGGTGGTTCTTGTGCAGTGTGCGATGAGAGCAACGCAGCAGAGTTTGGAGATCACAGTGGAGGGAGAGTGTCGCCCCCACAGCTTCCCGTCGCCCCTTCTCCCTGCAGTCGTCACTGACACTCAGACTCAGAGACAAGGTGACAGAGCGAGAGGCAGGAGGGAGATGGAGACGAGGGCAGAGAGGCAGCTGCAAAAAAGACAGGAACAATCTTAGGGGAAAGAAAAAAAGTCAGGGGCTACCTTATATATATTTTTGCTGTTGGGAAAATATATGTGATTTGTTTGGTCACTATTCAGGGCTTGCCAATGTAAGATTAATTCAATATGACTTACTGGTAGAACAGCGTGGCCCTGTAGGTGGCATTCATGTGACATCATCATCTTCAGAGAGTCTATAGTATAAAATTGTGATGGTGCAGATCCCAAATAAACAAACTAGCCATGCACAAAAGGTTACACATATGGTTAGATATTTTATACATTTTAAATCTAACTATTAACCTGAAACAATGAAATTATATCTATAGCTGAACAAGTTTTAATTTAGGACTTGATTTCAGCCCACAGTGGTTCCTAAAGCGGGGATTGCGGGACACCAACTGGGGGATTAGAACCAAAATTACATAAACATAAAAATGCAGAAAAGGTATTGATAAAGTGCGCAAAAAGTATTCAGGACTAAGAATATAACACTTAATATCTGTATAATTGTGTCAAGATGACCCTTCTCATAAAAATAATCTACATTTAAACACTAGTGTAACTCTTGCCCCTATAGAGATTTTATTTTTGCTTCTTTATTAGGCTAAAGGAAGAGATTTTATAACTTCTTTCTTATTATGCTGCAGCTAAAAATGCTACTTGTGTTTTTATTCTGCTAAGGCTAGAGATTTTCTAATTGCTTCTATTGTATGCAAAAGTTGGAGATTTTGATTTATTTTACTTTAGTATTTAATTCAAATTAGAATTATTGCTCCTTTATCTTGTGTTGTGGGCTTTTCATTCCAACTGTTCTGTAACCTGGTGATATAACACTGAAATGTCCTTAATGTGGGACAAATTGAGTTGAATAGAAACACGCCAGGTGGAAAAGAGAGAGTTAAATAAACAAAAACCCAAACACACAGAGCCATGGCACAGGAGGGCACCAGGGGACGAAGGCCACCTCCTCCTCTGCACACAAGCTCACCTCCTCCTCCTCCTCCTCCTCCTCCTCGGCCTGCCTCCTGCCACTCATCTGCTGCTTTTCTCCGTCTGTGCAGAACGCTATCCTTTCCCCTGCCCCCAGCGGCCCCCTCCCTCTCTCTCTCTCTCTCTCTCTCTCACTCTTGTCACATCTGCATGTTTTGTTGCCTGCTGTCATGTCCTGGGTTTGTGCCTGCGCCACACAAACACATTCTCATAAATAGTGAGATGTGAGAGACAAGAGAAGGGCCTTGCTGTTTCAGGGGAGGTTAAAAAAGCACTGGGAATGAGAGGAAGGCGGGAGTGAGCGAACCAACAAACAGTTCTGCGTTTTGGCTGTGCTGTGCGGCGCAATTGTAACGCTGTCTGGGATTTAATAAGCACTAATTTGGCATTAGGAGTCTGCTTGTTTAGCTTGGTGTTGAGACTGGGGCGCCGCGTTGCTTTGGTTTGCTTTTTCGATAGCGATGGGAGAACGGAAACACTGGAATTAATCCTTTCAAAACCACCACAACAAACAATTTTTCTGAAGAATAGCCGAACAATTGTAACAGTGAAGCCCAATCTATTTGCTGTGGGAAAATGTGTGTAAAATGCTTGCACACTATTCAGGGCTTACCAAGGTTTTGGTCACATTACAGTGTCTGTTGGCAGTGCGAGTGAAAAAAACATTCATTACTGACACAACAGCGTGACCCTGTAGGTTGCGTTCATGTGACATCATAGTGGAGGTCAGCGAAATGCTTCCATGGTTAGGTATGGTAAGTGTCAAAAGTCAGACTTTAAGTTTATAGATAATGTCTCCGGAATTTCTGAGACATTCCATCAGAAAAAATCTACCATGTCTGTACTGACTTCTTCTCAGTACATATCAACTCTGGTCTAATTATTGTTTTCTCACAAAGGTGTCTAGAACGTTCTTGGACGTTCCATCTCTGCTGCTGTGACCTTTTTGCTGCTTGCTGTGACCTTTTCAGCTTTATAGAATTTATCTATCTAGAAGTGGTGACATTTTTCAAAAACATATGCATGATATTGGCTAATAGAATTGACTTTCAGACTAATTAATATCATGAAAGGTTTGCAACTCTAATTGCTATCAATTAATGATCGGGAAAATCCTTTTGGATATTTTTGTTTCTTTACACTTACAATCTTTCCGATAGAGTTGCAATGCACCTGCTCCAACTGAAAAATAATTCTAGAACCTGCCCGCAACCTATCGGGAGGGTGTGCTGTAGCTTGTGCCTGCTCACTCGCTACACTTTATCATGGTAACACACCAAAAAAACCTTTCTCTATTTGATTTTCCGCCGCCTATTTCTTTGCCAACTCATACTTGACCTTTTTGTTATCTCCCTGTGTGGGCGGGGCTTAGCGTGCAGTGGGCGGAGCTACTGTATGTGTGTGTGTGTGTGTGATGTTCGCTCTTGTGGAGGTGGAGATCCAGGGAAAGAGACGCTAGACTGGGACATTCTCCTCTGGTAGAAGCCCCGGAGGTAGACAGCATCTCTGCGGTGAATAGTCATCCCACTCTCCCCCGTGTGTGTGCGTCTCAAACCCCCCAGGACAGCTCGGCATCACTGTCCCCTCCTCCGCCTCCCTGCAGATATATATATATATAAATATATGTTTCAATGTCCTGCTTTCCCTGCTTTATTCTACCCCCTCACACTCTCTCCCCCATAGTGCCACTCTGATGTAAACAATCCAAACCCTCTCTTAACACATCACATCAAAGCGGGATGAAAATGTGATCTTTGTAATTCCCTCTTCTTCTTTTTTTTGTGTGTGCACCCACTACCCCAATCCCATCCCACACCATTGTTGAAGTTTTTTCCAATCTTTCTTTTTACAAGGAGAGACAACAATGAACAATGTGGGATCTGTCGCATTCTTGTTCCCATGGGAGAAGACTTCTAACAGCATCCTCTATTAAGGCTGGAGAGGAAAGACGGGAAGAAAAGAGGAACACCCCCACTGTGCAAACACAATCAAAGTGACGGCTTACAGCGGCGGATCAGATTTGCTTAGTAATTATTGTATATGGGATTCGTTGGAAATACCTCGTCATCTTCTAACACTGGAAAGGTTTTAGGCAGGTGTAAAGAGATGTGCTTTTGAAAAATGAAGGAATGGTTTGTGATATTATGTTGACACACAAAACACAATGAAATATATTGTGAGTATTGTGAAGACATTGACTGAGATATTTACCAATGATAAGAATGCTGAAGAGATTATTAGAATTTCTTTGGAGCTTGACGCCTTCATTGTCTGACCTTCAACTTGTCCTGGTTACCTGCTACGGCAGCTTGTCTCCATAGAGATAGACACATTCAGTGCCACGTACTGTAAAATTGGATTGTATGGGCGGTAAACATGATGCTATTTTTCTACAGTGGCACAGACTCATAAGCACAAAACAAGCCCATTGGGTCGTTTCATTTAGGTGTCCACTCCACACATAGACTCAAAGTAAAAATCAAGGTCAGTGCCTGATTTCCTCACATCTTCTGCGCACCCAATTGCTTTAACCCTCCTCCAATAACACATCTGATTAGCCCGTTGCTCAGTCCACCCACGGAGAGGCCTATACGGCACTGCTCCGGTATATGCTCCAACTTAAGCCTCCACAGCAGTATCTTTACGCCGGGGTGAACCTCGCCCCTCCTCCGTGGACCTGTCACAATCCACTCACACACCACTCAATGCACAGCGGGGTTGACCCACTTCTTTAGATTGAGAAGGCCAGCATCTTCTGGCACAAAACTGGCATAAGAACATCCCATTAAACCCCAATACGTAGATGAATACAGAGAGACACATATGGTAATGAATAAAACATGTCATTATTGGGGTGTAATGATGGCGTGTGCGTGACAGAGATCCACATCTATGTAGCACAGCAATGAATATTATTATCATGTAAATATATATAACCTGCTAGCCTCATGATTAGTCAGCTGCAAGAGAAAGGAGGCCATTTTCCTTTTGACTATTTAGAGCAAGATTAGGTAAGATCGTGTACGCGTTTGTTATTTGCATGAGAGAATTGACAGCAAAACTCATCATACATAGTATGCATAAGTCTTCCCGGTTGGTTTACTACTCTTTCATTGCTCGGATAGAATATTGTTCTTCGCTTCATCAATCCACAAAGGCTGAAAACGTACAAGAAGGTGCTGACTCAAGTCGATAGAAGCCGTTAGAGTATATTTCACTTTTAATAATATCCCTCTCGCACTAATATGGTGCGCATTTCCTTCATGATTTACACCGCCGTAAGAAAAAAAAAACGATTTCCTTGATGATGTATAATATAAACAGACTTGCATTCATTTTTATTGATTATCTATGTCTTTACGGGAAAAAACCTATTAAATATACATATGTTTCAACCTACATACAGTATTTATTTGTATCCCGGGGGTCATATATGATCAGCTTTATATGATTTTCTATTGCTTGCCCGTCGTTTACAAAGGGATCAGAGACACGCGCTCTCCAATTGATGCAACCCTTCGCACATGCAAACCTACGGGCATGAGAAGCGCGCATCAAGGTTACCTGCGGCGAACGCTCTGCTGAGGGGACTTCTATCTGCAGCGTGGCTTTGATGTCGGAATGATGAGAGCATAAGGAGAACACACAAAGAGGCAGTGCACGGTCAGATGTGTACTACAGGAGAATATACAGCCCTCCTAGATTATCTTATTCATCACATGCTGCTGGGGGAAAACGCACAAAGGACTCAGAGGGGATTGAAGAAAGGTATGGTACAGTGAGGATCAAACGAAATATGCATATGGAGCACACATGGTCGGGAGATCAGATACGATGGCGTCCGCGAGAGGTCATGTGTTGTTTATGGAGTTAAATGCACTCAGCGATGCTTGCAGACAACAGCGCAATGATCTATAACAGGCATC